ATAGACTGTTTGAAATAGGCATATACCACCAGTTTGCATTACTGCAAATTGCCTAGTAACAGTGAATTCAGTGAGAAACGTTCCCACACAAGTAGGTTCCCACGATCAGGAGAAGCATGAGAGAAGCAGACACAATGTCAATCACATACAGTAGTCTTCTCTTTAAACGCCGCCAACTCAGGAATGTAGACGCTGTGTCTGGTCTGATTCTTTGAACGCCGCCTTCAGGAATGTAAACGCGCTGCTGTTCCGCAAGAAGGGAATAGCCGACTGCCTTGTTCAGCAATATAAACATGTGCCATGGTTTAACCATTTTTAAAACATAATAATATATATAATAATACAAACATGTATTAAATTCATATAGCCTATACAGTAAAACACAATGCCGTAGCATACGTTGTTCTACGCGCGATATCACGTGGCCACAACGAACTTCTTCAACTGCGGCTGATCCAGGTCAGTGTTTATATGCTGTATTGTGCGGGCTGTGCAGGCACTTGGGAATTAGAAAGTTGGGCAAAAGGTACTTGTGTTGATAGGTCAATTCGAACATCGCACAATATAATCTGGGTAGCAAGGTTACTGGCGATTGCTTTCTCTTCTATAAAACCTACAGGTAACGGTAGGGCCTAGCCTACTAAAATACAAGAAACATTGGGGTTTCCCCAACAAGAAAATAATTAAATTTAGGCCTTTTTTATAAACATTTCTTCGTGAACTGTCACCTAGCGTAGGCTAGCATTTTACTACCAGGCTACTACATATAGGCCTAGGCCTACATAGCCTAGGTACGGTAGGGACACTGAACATGTTTTGAAGTTGTTTAAATCACGATCAAATTCCAAATTTCGCTGAACGCGTTTAACATTTTGCCATTCACGAGCAGTCAGCCATATGAAAAGGGGAGGAGTTAACTTCCAAACGGAATAAACGGCTCGAACGACAAGCCTCAAAACGGCATTTCACAGACGCGTTTGGGAGCTTGTCATATAACAATAGTAAACGTGTTTGACCCGTTTCTGTCGTTGGGGATAATTTGTAGATCACGCCTTAGTATTGTTATTATATTAATGTTTTGATCATGATATACTGTTTGTAGAGGATATGTTATTTTACATGCTTACTATCTTACTACTCATCATTGATTTAAGCTCAGAAGGAGTAGTACTACAGACGTGTATACTATGATGACACCCAAGACATATTTGCAGCCAGACGTAGTCAGGCAGACAAGCAAGCAAGCCAAGGTGTCCATAGTGTCCACAGGGCCAGGCCTGTTCGACAACAACTCGTACGCCACGGCTATAGCAATGGCAGCTACTATGCATTCGGCTCAAAAGCCGTCTGGTGAGTCAAGCAGGTTTCACAAATTCCAATGAAGTAAAAAATTAAAATAAATTATAAACCTCTCCTTTAAAGCTCAAGTACACATAGTTTTCCCATATATGGGCATGATATGACATCATCATGCCCAAATATAGATGTGTTATGACATGTTATGATGTGTCATGCCCATTTATTGACAATTTATATTTGTCACAAAATTTGAGTGTGTGAATAGAAGTTTACTATGCTTTGAGCATGTTTTTTTTTATTAACATTTATACACACAGAGTTCACACATTCCAATAAAGTAAACAATTATAAAACAATTATTGTATATAATAAAAAGAATAATCTTTGAAATTCAGAATTACATTATAGTCAATACTGAGTTTGCACATGGTACATCATTTTTTAGATTGATGGACTACAATAGAAGTCATGATTGTCCTAAATTTTTTGTTACATGTCTTCTTTCAAGTTCAAGTGTACATATTGCTTTGCCCATATAAGGGATGTCATATGACATCATTCACATATATGGACGGTTATACATCAAAATTTGTCACATAAGTTAAAGTTTTTCTTGCTTGATATTTTTTGAATATTATTTACATAATACATGCTGTTCGGTGATTAATTATAGATTTCCCCCCACCCCCACAGGTCTTCCAACTGGTGGATTTGGCTTTGGGGCTGGAAGTGCAGCAGCTACTGAATGTGCTTGTTTTGATGGAGGAGGACTGTTTGGATAATCCTGGCGTAGGTACCGGAGGTCTGGCTACCGGAGGGAGCATGATTCGACCCCTTGGTAACCAGACCACTGGCGGTTTTGGATCCAGTTTCGGAAATGCAGCAAAAACCGGATTTAGTTTGGTGGTTTTGGGACCAGCACTGGTTTCGGTAAAACAACTGGTTCAACGTTTAGTTTCTCAGGTTCGTTGTTTGGTACATCTGCCTTGACGCTTTGCTGACTAACAACTCTCTTGGTGGTAGCTTAAGGGCTGGACCAACATCTACTGGGTTCTCAGGCTTTGAAATCTCTACGGGTAAAAAACAAGGATTTTGACACCATCAATTCCAGTTTTTAAATTACAATTTGTATGCAATGTTGTTTTATTAGTGCATATGTATAGCACTTTATGTTTAGTGCACATTCATTGACCACCAAATCATGCTTTTCTGAATCTATACAATACTTAAATTTGATTTAAAAAAAGTACTCTTGGGCTATTTTACTTTTGATTGTCATGCTGCTAAACTGTTGTGTATTTTTTGGCGAAGTGCCAAATGCCAATGTTGCCAAAAGAAAATGTATGCATTTACTTATGCATGTAAAATCTATAATATATGATTGATTGATTGATTAATACTCCTTAAATCTATAAATTTTACATGCTTTATAGCCTCTGCCATTAGAAGAAACAGTCTGAAAAATAAGGCATTATTTTTTGGTACATACTTGTTGTTTCTTGATGATGACACGGCAATAAAGATGTGTATAAGAGACAGACTTGACACGATGCTGTATTGTATTCGGGAACCACTCGTTACTTTTATAAAACTATTTGATTGGCAAAAGGATATGAATGTATATTAACTATATTTTTGGTTAATTTTCACGGAAAATAGCATGGGAATTGTCTGGATATCTGTAGTTTGGGAACCAGCGAAGACAAAATTTATTCCTTCAGGGACATCTTTATAGCGCTTGTATTTATTACAAAACTTGCATAGCTAAAGCATCACAAATATACTATAAAACAAAGTCTAACAGTAAGCTATTAAAGAAAAAAAACTGAAACAAAGGTACCGGTAGTAGAATTCGGAAACCAAAGGGCTGTGAAACAACTACAAATATATAATAGCGACCAGAATGTTAGCCCCTCTCCCACCTAGGTTTATTTCACCTAAGAGTCGTACGATTTCTACGAGTTAAAACTCGTGATCTTTGGAAAGGACCTATACGAGCTTATTACGTGATAGCTACGAGTGAGGTACGACTTTATTACGACTTTATGGAGTTGGTTACGAGTTATGTACGAATTATGCCGAGCAGAGCACCGAGTTAACGAGATTATTACGAGCGTAACAAGTTTGTACCGAATTAGATACGAGTTAGGTACGAGCCAACTCGGGGCGCTCGTACTCGTTTTTGGGTGCTCGCATCAAACTCGTAGATGACAAAACCGCCGACGAGTATCCAGAGTAGTGTACGAGCTAGGTAAGAGTACCCCGAGTACTCTACGAGCTACCTACGAGTTCTTCGAGTTTACTACGAGTTATCTACTCGTGGCGATAATTTTGAACATGTTCAAAATTAGCGCCACGAGTTCAGAGCTGCTACGAGTAGGTAAGAGTCCTCTCCGAGCTTTCCGAATCGTCCTACGAGTTTTTGCCGAGTTAGCAACTCGGCATTCTCTTGTAACACGTATGCTGAAAAAACCCTAGTGGGAGAGGGGCTTAATCTTAAACCTACATGTTATTTTGTAACTTTATTTTCAGCCATATTTTTACATCTTTTTTGATGGTCTAGCTATTATTATTAGATAGATATGATTAATGGTCACTGACCAGAAAAATGAGAAGTGTCAACCGAGGTCCGTAGCCTTAGTTACAGT